ATATAAATTTATCTAATTATAATTAATTTGATAATCTGTTAATTAATATTTGTATTATTAAATTAAATTAATGAAGGTTAAACAAAACTATCTTCCCCTCGCCTTTCCCGCCGGAAACCCTCGCCGTCGTCCCTTACCCTCTCCCGGTTCGCCTCAATCCATCGCCTTCATGACCAAAAGCTCGCGGTACAGGCGCGGTTAGCTAGCTGGGAAGGCAACGACGGGATCGCGGCGACAAAGCTCCCAAACTTCCTTCTTTCTCCTCCTCGCTCTCCTACCATAAACCATTGAGGAAGAAAACCCTCGTCTTTCTCCACGCCTTAGCGCGCTTCAGCTTCTTTAAATCCGTAAATTTAAGGCCAAACGGAGGAAAAGATGGCTTTTTTGCTGTTGGACGTGATTTTTAGGTTAAATCCTGCTCAAATCCTGGCACCAAACGGCCCATTACTCTTTGGCGGAATTTAGTTTGCATACGGTCACCGAGCAGCCCCTAAATCCTCTTGTCTCGCTCCCTCATGCTTATTGGGACGTCAAGTTGCTCTGTAATGGCGTGCTCCAATTCTACTGTCCCCGCAAAATCCCGTATCAAGCGGAGAAAACTCCCACCAGTGTTTTCTGAAGAGCAGCCGCAACCGCAAGAAGAAGATCGAGATGAGGGTAGAGACCTGAAGAAGATCAAGCTTTGCAACACCTGGGAGAACCTTGATCTCATTCTTACTTTACAAAGCAGAGAAATTAATCTGCAAAGGTCTATTCCAAAACCTTGTCTACTTTTCAGAATAGGACGAAAAAATAAGTTTTTTTTTTCTTTTTTGATTCATTTATCGAGAATTACAATTCTGTTCCACGCAGGAAGATCGAGGCTTCTTTTGATTTTGCAAATTCGGAAGCCAGCAACGGTGATGGGAAGATGCAGCCCGTTTCTTTTACACGGGCACTGCACTATGTTTTCGATTGGATGCAGTCGCTTTTGATGTCTACAGACCGAAACAGGAAAAACGGCGAGCCTTTGGATCCTTGCCTGGACTACAGATGCTGGGCCGTAATCAGATCCTGCTCAGAGAAGTTTTCAGCGGGACCCTCCCCCAATTTATTAAGAGCTGTAGCGCCTGTTTTGAAGCAAGCATTGTTCTTATTGGACTCTAACTTTTTATTAGGAGTAGAATCCAACCAACTATTTGAGAATGCTTTGCAGTGCCTCTCCTCATTGCTTGCTTCAAAATCAAGAGCTTTTTACAATGTGGGCATGGATTTATGGATTTCATGTGTTGTTGATGTTCTTAATATTATCGGTAAAGTTTCGAGCAGAGAAAAACAGGCATCTTTGGTGGCTAAAGTCCTTTTGGATCTGTCAGCACTTTTGCTTGATCACTTTTCTAGTTTTCTGAGATTCCATCCAAACCCAAAGAACATATTCTGTGTTTTTGTAGAGAGGCTACTCGAACAGTTGTTCGAGGTGTTTGTTCTATTGCGGCTGAGAACCAAAGATAGTTGTTTTGAACAATTTGCAAGCATGCTGAAGATTGTTGAAGATGTTATGTTGAACGGCTTGTTTCATCCTTCTCATATTAGTGGTTTTTTAAGCTCAAGGAGTTCAACTGTGGGGCAGGAGGTGAAATCTAGAGGTGCTAACGAGAGTTATCATAGGCACTTATTCAACAAACTGGAGAAATTTATACAAGAGAAAAAGATAACGGCATTGGGTGGATTTGCATGCTTGCTCCGTTTGTTTGCTGGCAAAGCCAAGGGTCAGCAAGATGGTTCTTTGTCATTTAGAGGACATCAGGTATTGAAAAAAGGTAATGCGGTCTCTGGAGATGCTCAGGAAGCAGTTTTACCTCTTTTTGAAGTATTTATGCAATTTATGAAACCTCTGTTGCGAGAGTGTAAAAATTGTGCAGAGGAGTTATCCATAGTGTCAGGGGTCTCAGAACACAGGTTGATAGAATTGCATTGCTTGCTCAGATCTGTGAATGAGATTCTTGAAAGTTTCATACAGGAGAAAATATATGTCCGCACAGAAGACACGCCTGAAGGAAAGCATTATTATTTTCTGAAAGAAATTTATGATGCGTTTTATTCTATTTCAATAAAGTTGCACTTTTTTTGGATGTCTGAATTGGAAATGTGTGATGAAGTAAAAAAGATGCTTCCTTTGATTCGAAGGGAGGTTGTTGTAGGTGTTGGTTGCTTTTTGGAAATTGAATACCGGGTTTTTGGGGATGATCTTGTAATTATATGGCTTTTGTTAGTGTCATACTTGGCTGCTAATATATCTATTTCTGATGCTAAGCCTTGTTCGTTGCTGATGAATGAGATTTTAAACCTCGG